TCTCTGTCTCTCTCTCTTTCCTCTCTGTCCCCTCTCTCTTTTCTCTGTTCTCCGCTCTCTTTCTCTCTGTCTGTCTCTATTTGTTCTGTCTCTCTCTCTTTCTCTCTTTCTCTCTCTCTTTCTCTCTCTGTTCTCTCTCTCTCTCTGTCTCTCTCTCTCTCTCTTTGTTCTGTCTCCTCTCTCTCTCTTCTTTCTCTCTGTCTCTTTCTCTAGTTTTCTCTCTGTCTCTCTCTTCTCCTGTCTCTCTTGTCTCTCTCTCTTTTTCTCTCTGTCTATCTCTGTTTTCTCTCATGTGTCTCTTCTCTCCTCTCTCTCTGTGTCTCCTATGTCTTTTTCTCTCTGTTGTCGCTGCTCTCTCTCTCTCTCTGGTGTCTCTCGCTCTCGCCTCTCGTCTCTTCTGTTTCTCTCTTCTCTCTCTCCTCTTTCTCTCTGTCTCTCTCGCTGTCTTTCTACGTCTGTCTCTCTCTCGCTCTTTTCTCTTTCTCTTATCTCTTTTATCTCTGTCTCCCTCTCCGCTCTTTCTCTCTGTCTTTCTCTCTCTTTTCTCTCTGTCTCTCTCTTCTCTTTCTCTCTGTCTGACTCTCTCTCTTTCTCTCGGTCTCTCGCTCTCTTCTATCTGTATCTCTCCTCTCTCTCTTTCTCTCTGTCTTTCTCTCTCTTTCTCTCTGGATCTCTTCTCTCTCTCTCTCTATCTCTTCTCTCTCTCTCTCTCTCTTTCTCTCTGTCTCTCTTCTCTGCCTCTCGCTCTTTCTCTCTGGTCTCGTCTCTCTCTTCTCTTTCTCTCCTGTCTCTCTCTCTCTCCGTTCTCTCTGTCTCTCTCTCTCTCTTTATCTCTTCTCTCTCTCCTCTATTTCTCTCTGTCTCTCTCTCTGCTCTTTCTCTCTGTCTCTCTGTCTCTCTTTCTCATTGTCTCTCTCTTCTCTCCTCCTCTCTCTCTCTCTCTCTCTCTCTCTCTCTCTTCTCTCTCTATCTGTCTCTCTGTCTCTTTCTCTCTGTGGTCTATATTATCTCTCTCTCTGTCATCTCCTCTCTTCTCTCTCTCTTTCTCTCTCTCTCTCTCTGCTCTTTCTCTTGTCTCTCTCTAATCTTTATCTATTTCTCGTACTCTTTCTCTCGTCGCTCTCTCCTTGTCTCCTCTCTTCCCTTCTTTACTCTCTTCCCTCTCCGTCTCTCTCTATCTCTCTTCTTCTCTCTCTATCTCTCTGTATCTCTGCTCTCGATCTCTCTCTGCGAGTCTCTGTTGTGTGTGGTCTGTCCTCTCCCTCTCTGTCTGTCTCTCCCTGTCTGTCTGTCTCTCCATGTCTGTCTTCTCTCTCTGTCTGTATGTCTCATCTATGTCTGATCTATACATATTCTGTCGGTATCTCTCTGTATGTCTGTCTATATCTGTATGTCTGTATGTATGTGTTCATCTCTAGTTATATGTCCTCCTCTCTATCTCTATCTATCTATATTTGCATCTATATTATCTCATCTCTATATCTCTCTCTCTCTATCCTATTTGTATATCTCTAGCATCTCTATGTACTATCTCTATATTGTATATCTATATACATATATTTTCTATATGACTATCATAGATGTATAATATATATCCATAGTCATTTCTCTCGATTGTATTTCTCTCTATCTCTATATATACTATATCTTCTATATATATGTAATTCTGTCTCTCTTCCTGTATTCTCTGGTCTCGTCTCTCTCTATTGTCTCTGTTCTCTTCTCTTGTCTCTGTCTCTCTTCTCTCTGTCTATTTCTCTCTCTATCTCTGTATCCTGTCTCTCTGTATGTCTCTGTCTCTCTCTGTGTCTCTGTGTCTCTCTATGCGTCTTCTTCTCTCTCTCGTTTCTGTCTTCTCTCTCTGTATCTGTATCCTTCCTCCTTCTCTGTCTCTGTTACTTTATCTCTGTGCTCTGTTCTTTCTGTTCTCTCTCTGTCTATGTTATCTCTCTCTCGTCTCTGTATCTCATCTCTCTGTCTCCTGTTCTCTCTCTATCTCCTCGTTCTGTCTCGTCTCTCTCTTGCTGATGCTCTGTATCTCTCTCTGTCTCTTCTCTCTGATCTGCTTGTCTCTCTCTGTCTCTTCTCTTCTATGTCTCTGTCTCTCTCTCTTCTCCTCTGTCTCTGTCTCTCTGTCGTCCCTGTCTCTTCATGATCTCTCTCTGTCTCTGTCTCTCTCCTCTGTCTCTCTCTGTCTCTGTCTCTCTCTCTCTTCTCTGTCTCTCTCTCTGTCTCTCTCTGTCTCTGGCTCTCTCTCTGTCTCTCTCTGGTCTCTGTCTCTCTTCTCTCTCTCTATATCTCTCTGTCTGTCTCTCTTGTCTCTCCTCTCTGTCTCTCTCTCTCTCTGTCTCTGTCTCCTTCTGTCTCTCGCTCTCTACTCTGTCCCTCTGTCTCCTGTTATCTCTCTCTCTTCTCTCTCTATCTCTCTCTCTCTTCTCTCTGTCTCTGTCTCTGTCTCTCTCTACTCTCTTCTCTCTATCGCTCTTCTATCTTTCTCTCTCGGTCTCTCCTCTCTTTCTCCCGTCTCTTTCTCTCTCGTCTGTCCTTCTCTGTCTCCTATTCTCTGTATCTGTCCTCTCTCTCTGTCTCTGTCTCTGTCTCTCTCTCTACTGCTCTTTCTCTCCCTCTCTCTCTCTCTTCTCGTCTCTCTCTCTCTCGCTCTCTCTCTCTGTCTCTGTCTTCTCTGTGTCTCTGTCTCTCTCTCTGTCTCTGTTCTTAGTCTCTGTTCTTGTCTCTGTCTCTCGATCTCTGTCTCTTTCTGCCCTCTCTCTCTCTCTCTCTCTGTTTGTCTCTCTGCTCTCTGTCTCTCTCTCTCGTCTGGTCCTCTGTCTCATCTCTCTCTCTCTTTTCTCTCTATCTCTTCTCTCCTGTCCTCTCTATCTATCTCTCTGCTCTCTCGTCTCTCTCTCTGTCGCTCTCTCTCGTGTCTCTTCTCTCTCTGTCGTCTTCTCTGTTCTCTCTCTCGGTCTGCTCTATCTGTGCCTCTCTCTCTCTCTCTCTCTCTCTCTCTCTTTCTCTGTCTCTCTCTCTCTACTCTTCTTCTCTCTCTATCTCTCTCTCTCTCTGTCTATCTCTCTTGCTGTCCTCTCTCTCTCTATGTCTCTCTTCTCCGCGGTCCTCTCTCTCTCTCTGATTCTCTCTATCTCTCTATCTCTCTTCGCTCGCTCTCTATCTCTCTCTGTCTCTACTCTCTCTCTGTCCTCTCTTCTGTCCTCTCTTGCTCTCTGCTCTCTCTCTATCTCTCTCTCTCTCTCTCTCTCGTCTCTTCGCTCTCTCTCGCTCTCTGTTCTGTCTTCTCTGTGTCTCTGTCTCTCTCTGTGTCTACTGGTCTCTCTCTGTGTTCTCTGTCTTCTCTGTGTCTCTGTCTCTCTCTACTGTACTATGTCTCTTCTCTGTCCTCGCATGTCTCTCTCTCTCTGTCTTGTCTTCTCTCTTCTGTTATGTATCTGTTCTTCTCCTACTCTTCTCGTGTCTCTCCCTCTCTTCTTCTCTCTCTCTCTCTCGCTCTTCGGTCTCTATTGCAAATCTCCGAAATCATTTCTATCTTCCTGTATCTCTCTCTATCTCTCTCCTCTCTATCATCTATCTATCTATCTCCTATCTCACTACTCTCTAATACTGTTCTCTCTCTCTCTATATCCTATCTCTATCTCTCTATCTAGATCTATCTCATCTCTCTCTCCTCTATATCTCTCGTCTCTCTCTATATTTTCCTCTCTCTTCTCTCTCTCTTGCTCTCGCTCTGTCTCCCTCTATAACTCTTCTGCTCTCCTACATATGTCTCTCTATAGAAATCTGTATATCTCTCTCCATCTGTCTCTATCTATCCTATTCTATCTCTCTCCCTCTGTATCTATGTATCTCTCTATCTCTCATCTATCTCTCTCTATATCTCTACTCTCTCTCTATCTCTCCTCTCTTCTCTGTTCTGTCTCTGTCTCTACTCTCTGGTCCACCCCCCCCCGTGCCACCCTCCATTTTTCTCGCCTCGTTTCCCCCTGGCCGCAGGGTTTTACGTCCTTCCTCTCTGTGTGTGGCATGTGGTTGTGCTTCCTTTCCCTCCCCTTTACATTTCAAAAGCAGCACATAAAACAGAACATAAAGTTTGGACATGAGGGTCTCATGTCCTGTTTACCCCCTCCTGTGTGGGCTGTTTTGGGAGACAGTTTGTTTGGACAAGGTAGAGAAAGAGAGACTTGGGCTGCAGTCTGGGCTTTACTCTAGATCCAGGAGACTACTTGTTCTTCTCACTGCAATAAGGTGTGAAGTTTTGGTAACTGGACTAATTTGCATTAACTTCCAGTGGCTGGGTTTACAGGTAGTGAGATTAACTTGCCTTTATTTATACTGCTTGATATCTTTTCAAGGTTGTGAGGTATAGTTGTGTTAAATAGTGTATGTGACAGGCTTTCCTCAGTAGCAA